CAGAAACTCCTATACGCCATGCTGATGGCGACCCGGAAGCTCCTGCACTACTTCACCGACCACGAAGTCACGGTCGTCACTTCATAACCGCTCGGGGACATCATCCGCAACCGCAACGCCGTGGGACGGATCTCTAAGTGGGCACTCGAACTCATGGGCCACGACATCAAGTATATCCCCCTTACCGCTATTAAGTCTTAGGCTCTCGTGGATTTTGTCGCCGAATGGACGGAGGTCTAGCTACCAACTCCGGACGTCACCCATGAGTACTGGACGATGTACTTCAATGGGTCCATCATGGCGCCCGGCTCGGGGGCTAGAGTGGTTCTGATCACTCTAGATGGGAGTAAGCTTCGCTACGCCATCCGCCTCCATTTCTTGGCCTCAAACAACATCACAGAATACGAGGCCCTCATCAATGGGCTACGCATCACTGTCGAGTTCGGCGCTACGCGACTCTACCTCCGCGGTGACTCGGAGTTGGTCGTTGATCAGGTCATGAATGAGTCCTTCTGCAAAAGCCCCCTCATGACAGCATACTGGCAAGAGGTGCGCAAGCTCGAGGACAAATTCCAGAGGATCGAGCTGCATGATGTCCCCCGAAAGGACAATGATGCCGCCGATTTTCTTGCAAAATTGGCCGCCAGGCGGGATCCATCCCCAAGCGGGGTCTTCATCAACGACGTCCATGAGCCATCCGCCCGCATCCTGGAAGGTCTGACCCAGACACACCCCGATGCCCAGCCGGCGCCCAGGGGCTCTGACCCCGACGCCAAGCTAGCGCCCGGGGGCTCCGACCCCAATGCCAAGCTGGCGCTCGGGGGCTCTGACCCTAGTACCTCTATGACAATGTCGCCGTGTTGGCACTTGATCAAACCGACTGGCGAGCACCGCTACTCACCTATCTCCTCGAGGAGGTTCTTCCACCTGAAAGGATTGAAGCCCGATGAATCGCTCGACGCGTCAAAGGAGAGGCCACGGCACACACTGCTGGACATAACCACCGCCACAAGGGCTCCGCCCGGTTCCGCTCCCTCGACTTTGGCGAGCGCAACATGTATCTCAAGGGACCCGCCCGGCTCCACTCCCTCGACTTCGGCGAAGTGCAGCAGGTACCTCAAGGGCATCGCACCCATAGATGCTCAGCAGAAGAGCATGGAGCTCCTGACCTTCTCATGCAGTCAAGGCAGCTCCTGGGTAGGGATGTTGCCCACCAAGGTATGGCCATCGTGGCTAGAAGATATCTCATCAAACTTTATGAACTGGCCAACCTGAGCAGCTACAAGGGTGAAACCTCCCACCGGTGCAGTCCCGAGCGTCTTCCTCTCCGACAAGGCTCGCCCGAAGAAGACTCACCGAAAGGAGTCCGCGTATGGCTCCATCCCGACGAAAGCCTCACAAACAGTGACAAAGCCGGCAATGTACGGCACCCTCCAGTGCGCCACCTCCTTCGGTGAAACCAGCCTCTTCTCGGCGAAGGCGGCCAGCACCATCTCATCTACATTAGGGGAGCTCCAACTCAACATCGTGCTCCAGAATCATGAACGGGTCCATGAGTTCTCCTCTCCTTCTCCCTTCCCCTATTTAAAGAAAAGGCGGAGCAGTTGAGAAAAGGCAAAAGGATTGGGGCGAGAAACCCTCTCTCTTCCCCCATTCAATGCGGATGGGAAACGATTGGACGCACCCTGACCGATGGGACGCACACTGACCGATGGAACGGTGCCTGGTCAGACGGGACGTGGCCTGGGTAGGCCCACCACTACCGCATGACCGGGCGCGAGAAACAAAGTGCCACCACGCGTAGGCGGCTCTCCGCCTTCACAGGCGGGACTTGGAAAAACCCAAAACAACGGGATCTCCGCCAGGAGAGACCATCGGGCTTCCTAAATCGATCGAATGGCTCAGGAAAATGCCGAGAGACGGGTAAGGAGCAAAGGGACGCCCCATGTAGGCCATGCCGACTCTGTCACGAACGACGAGCACGGGTCTCGGTTGGACATTTCCGAATGGAGCTCTTCAAACCCCGTCACTTGAGTCATCAAGGTAACATTACCAAACCCCACTATTTCTTTATATAAATCATTCATACATCCATACACACATTCATTCCATACGCCCGCGCCCCCCGGACGATTCTACCCGAATCGCCCGGGGGCTCGGGAACTAAGGCATCGCACATGCGCGTAAATGCATCACAACGCTGTGTTGTGTCACGAAGCGGTAGTTGCCTCATTCAACATGAGCAACGACCGATCGGGGTTCGAAGGCTGGCCCACGAAGGGCTCGAGGCCGCCCCACGTCAAACAGAGCCAGGGGAGAAAACGCTGATGATCCCCGTGTGGCCCTCGCCTAGTCTGCCTCGAAGCGGACAGGGTCATCTCAACCTTCTCGTTCGATCCTAAACCTCTGCCAAACCCACAGAATCTCCATCGAGGGGAGGCCAGCGGGCCACCCGGGTCGGTCTCCGGAACGACCCAGGCATCTGCCGGGTTGTAGGTAAAGGAGCAGTGGAATGTCACAAGAGGGCTATGCTGACCCCGTCACGAACGATGGACCCGGATTTCACTCGTTCATACCTGTTAGAGAGCTCACCGAGCGCGTCACTCAAGCCTAAGCCATCGGGCAAGCGACAAAGCTCAGCCCCTCCGGTTGTGAGAAACCGAGGACGAGGTAACGCACAAAACTCAAACCGACCCCTACCAAGCCCAACAGGGCTCAGGGGCTCAAGACACCCAAAACGCAAGGGTCTGCGACCCCAAACTCGCCCCATCCCTTGGACTACGCCTCGGCTGCACACCAACGCATGGGTCTGCGACCCCGAACTCGTCCCATCCCTCGGACTATGCCTCGGCTGCACACCAACACATGGGTCTGCGACCCCGAACTCGCCCCAACCCTCGGCTGCACACCAACACATGGGTCTGCGACCCGGAACTCGCCCCATCCCTCGGACTATGCCTCGGCTCCTCGGCTGCGCGGGACTGCACCGACGCTAGGATCCACGAGCCCCATCTCGTCCGATCCCTAAACTAACTGCCTCGGCTGCGCTGGACTGCACCGATGCTAGGATCCGCGAGCTTCGTCTCGCTCGATCTCTAAACTAGCTGTCTCGACTAAAATGCACACATACGCCCGCTGACAAAAAAACCCAGACGATTCTACCCGAATCGCCCGGGGGTTCGAGGGCTACACCCGCGGGTGCGCTCGCGCGCACCCGCTGACGAAACGAAACCTCCTCGGCTGGCAACACGAAAAAACCCCCCAGACGATTCTACCTGAATCGTCCGGGGCCTCGGGGGCTACACCCGCGGGTGCGCTCGCGTGCACCCGCCGTCAAGACAAAAAACCCCTAGACGATTCTACCAGAATCGCCCGGGGCTCGGGGGCTTCTGTCGGTTTCATAAACCCGGGGTCCCTCATGGACCGGCTTCCCAGCAAAGGCTCAGCCCAACAAAATAACGTTACGAACATTGCACGGCTCATGGGCCGGCCCAAACATCTAAATGACGGGCCAGAAGGACGATCCAATCTCCAACCGGAAGGCCTGGCCGAGGAGGAACGGCGCCCGCTTCCGACTCCGGCCCGCCTCTCCGACCGGAGAGCTCGCTTCGATCTCCAGCCCGCCTCTAGACGGCCTCTCCGACCGGAAGGCTTGACCGGAACACCACTTCCGACTCCGGCCCGCTTCTCCGACCGAAAATGCGTCGAACCCATGCTTACAACTCCTCTCTGACTGGCGCAATCAGAACCGACTGGGACCAACCGACCGGGGACGTCCGCTCAGTAAGGACCAGGAAACGGATGGAGAAAGTAAGGCAGGGCACTCAAGTCAACCGCAATATCAGGGACCGTACCCTGTGCACCTGTAGGATAGTACCCAAGTAGTGCTGTAGGCGCCAACATTTTTCTCTACAGTGTTGTGGGCGCCATCAACTCCCATACCGGACAAATACGGTAAGGCTCCCTCCACATGCCTCTGGGCATCAACAGTGTTGTGGGCGTCGGCATTTACCATACCAGGCGAACATGGTAAAACCCCCTATGTGTCTCTGGGCATCAACAGTATGGCAGGCACCGACGTCTGCCATACCAAAAGAAGACGACACAACCTCCCACATGCATCTGACATTAAACAGTAATATGGGCGTCTACCATCATCTTGTACCCGACGGCATGGGCAACAAGACTTAGCATACGTACACTTTCTTTCTCTCTCCTGTAAGGCCATCCTCTTCATCTATAAAAGGGAATGCGCTCTCTTCCACAAGACTCGGTTGATTCAGATCGATCAAGTTCGCTAGTACACAACAATAGAACAACCAGGTTCAAACCTCGAGCACACTCTCGAACACATAGCACATAGCGGAGCTCCTGTCACTCTCGGCCCCTCTGACCAGAGTCCGACCAGACCTCTTGTACCCTTATCTTTCTCTTTCTCGTTTGTAACCCCACTGCAAACTTCAAGCACCTGGGCTCAGGAATAAAGTCACCGACCGACTCAAACTGGACGTAGGGCACGTTGCCTAAACCAGTATAAACCCTGTGTCATTGAGTGCTAGGCTACCTCCGATCACAACATACGATAAAACTATAAATATTTACGTGTTTGTCACTTTCTGCACCGACAAGTATATTAGATTATTATAATCATGGAACATAATTTCATGATAAATATAGAATTTATAAACCTAGTTAAATATAATTATATTTGACTTGTACGTTTTTTTTTTTTTTGAGAGAGAGAGAACCGGAGGGGTGAAATTTATTAAACCAGACAACAAGAGAAGGTTTACAAAAAATATTCCTGGGAAGAAGCAGTAGGCAACACAAGCGACCGACACGGACTGCACCATCCAAGTTCCCAACCACCCTGGCCTTTGTCTCCAATCGATACGATGGTGGGCGAGAAGTCGCCGGCAGCAGGTGAGACCGATGTGTAATGTGCTTTGACCATACTCCTGCTGGCTGGCTGGTTCTTGCATCGCCAGATTATCCGGACGATGAGCATGAGCTCCAGCGTGCGAGTTCTCAACGTCACCCATGTCCTCCCGGATCAAAATCGGGCTGCGCTCTACTCGCCGTCGCCGCAGCTGCCCCTCCCCGACGACGACGGCATCATGAAGCTGACGTTCATGGACTCCCAGTTCGTCGGTATGGTCATGCCGATGCGGCGACTGTTCTTGTACGAGGGCCCCGGCGTCCCGCCCTTCCCGTACCTCGTCGGCTCCCTGCGGTCCTCCCTCGCCACCGTGCTCGCCATCTTCTTCCCTCTTGCAGGGAAGCTCACCTACAGCCCATCAGCCGGTGACGTCGTCGTGGACTGCTCGCCGGCCGCGGTGTCGCCTGGCGTCAAGTTCGTGGAGGCCGAGTACGCCGGCAGCATCGACGACATGCGCAGCGTGGCCAGTGGCGGCGGCGACGAGGGAGACAGGGACGCGCTGATGGAGCTCGGGCCCGAGCTCGACGCGAGGCAGCTGCCGGCCCCGGTGATAGCGGTGCAGGTGACGAGGCCGGCCGTCGGCAGCGGGCGCGCCGTGGTGGTCGCGGTGGCCATCCACCACGCCGTGGCTGACGGCCACTCCGTGTGGCAGTTCATGAGGGCGTGGACAGCCGTGGCGCGGGCGGAGGAGGGCTCGGAGGCCATGGCGCGCCTCGTGCCGCCGACGTTTGACCGGACGGTGATTCGGTACCCCGAAGCAGACAAACTCGCCTCCAAGATCTTGCGCGCGATTGCGCCGGCGCTGCCTGTGGTAATCGCTGCCACTACACCTATTCGATATCGATCCTCTTCGTTACATTACATGGTTTGTATATGAACAATTTTCTGAAGCAGATTTTGAGTGACAATCGAGCAGGTCAGATCGCCTTCCTCGTGCTCGCCGCCGGACCGGTCGAGGAGAAGCTTTCTGATCCACGCCGACGAGATCCAGTCGGTGAAGCAGCACATACGGACACAAACAGAGACCGCCGTTGCGGAGCAGCTGGACACACCTCCAAGCACCTACGTCGCGGTGTCGTCCCTGGTGTGGACGTCCATCGTGCGAGCCAAGTCCCGAGCCCCGCACCTCGCCGTCGCCGGCGACGCCTACTGCTACTTTTTCGTGGCCGTGGACTACCGCCGGCGCCGCCTCGGCCCTCTTCAGGTCAACGAGCGGTACTTCGGCAACTGCGTCGTGCCGTGCGTGGCCACAGCCGCCGCGCGCGACCTGTGCGGCGACGCCGGGCTCGGGCTCGCGCGGGCGGCCACTGCCATCCGTGACGCCATCCGCGCACAGCCGGAGGACCCGGTGCGCGCCATGGAGAGCTGGCTGGACTCCACGCTCGCGCTCCCGAAGGAGAGGTTCACGTTCGCGGGGTCGTCCAACAGGTTCATGGCGTACGAGACGGACTTCGGGTGGGGCGCGCCGAGCCGAGTGGAGCTCGTGTCGCTGTTCGCCACGGAGCTGGTGCTGCTGCTGGGCGCGGAGGACGGCGGCGTGCAGGTCACCGTGACGCTCGATCCAGAGCATATGGAGGGCTTCGCGGCCAACCTCCTGCGGCTGCGGCCTGCGGGTAGCAGGGCGAGGGAACGAGGCATAGTTGGGGGTCCTTGACTGCTGAGTAGTGCTGAATGCTGATTGATATTTGCATCAGCACTTTACTTCTTCAATACTGTGTAGAAGAATAACAACTCGACTTCTTAACTTTAGAGCATCTCCAATAAGAATACCAACACCGCTAAACAGCTCCAACAAGCTCTCCTAGGTCTCCTAATTTTGTTGGCCTCCAAATTCCCCCTCAATTCCTATTGGGCCAATAGGTGGCTACCCAATTTTTTGTTCTAGCTATTTCACCACGCGATTGGAAACTTACCGACACGGCCACCCGCAGGGAGCCCGTCGCCGGCCTTCTTCCTCACCAGTGCCAGCACCTCATCTGCCGCCAGGCCTCCCATCGGCTAGATCGGGAGGTCCGCCGCCACAGTTAACCCTCCTTCGCCTCTGCCCGTGCAACTTCCCATCTTCCCCGCCGCCGCCACCACCGCCCGCTGCATCCGTCCCGGCCCGCCTCTTCCACCTCCCCGACCCCCACACTGCCATCTCCCGAGCTTCCTCTGGCCCTTCTCCACGGTGGACACAGCCAGCTTAAGATGGTGTTTAAATTCAGGGAGTAAAGTTTAAGGACGTCACATCGGGTGTCATATGGGAGTATTCGGATAGTAATAATAAAACAAATTACAGAAGCCCTCAGTAATCTGCGAGACAAATTTATTAAGCCTAATTAATCCGTCATTAGCACATGTTTACTGTAGCATCACATTGTCAAATCATGGACTAATTAGGCTTAAAAAATTCATCTCGCAAATTAGTCTCAATCTGTGCAATTAGTTATTTTTTTAGTCTATATTTAATACTCCATGTATGTGTCCAAACATCCGATGTGATAGGGAGTAAACTTTAGGGGGAGGAACTAAACAAGGCCTAAGTTGATGATATTTAAGTTGGGCCAACCTTTAATTTAGTCATAATCCTATATAGGACCCGAACTTAGCATTTAATATGAGACTTATGCTATAGTTGTTTTTTATTGAAAGCAAATGTGCCCTACTTAAAATACAACAATCGTCAATTATTGGAAAAAAAATTAGGGCTTGTTTGGATACGCTCGTATCCACCTTAATTCATGTGTGTTGATTGGATTGGGGTTTCCACCACATGTGTTGGAGTCTTGGAGTGGATTAGGATTCATGTGGATTGACATGGATACCAAAGTTACGCAGCAACCACCCCCCAACCCCGTCTATCTTTTTTGTTTTGCGAAACTGCTCTTGTTTGTTTGGCTTATTACAGACACATGAGTTTCAGACACTGGCACACTGCAGTACACCCAAGCAAATGATCGAGTTTTGATTTTTTATCAACCACCTGCGTCGTCATATATTACTCCTAATTTTTGGCTCCGTCCCCTCGTCGTGACACCTGCATGAAGTTGGCTGCGAAGCCCTCCATGTGGGCATGGTCCAGCGCTACGGTGACCTGCACGCCGCCGTCCTCCGCGCCCAGCAGCAGCACCAGCTCCCTGGTGAAGAGCGACACGAGCTCCACCCGGCTCCGCGCTCCCCACCCGAAGTCCGTCTCGTACGCCATGAACCTGTTCGACGACCCCGTGAACGTGAGCCTCTCCTTGGGCACCGCGAGGAAGTCCTCGAGCCAGTGATCCGCGCCGCCCAGCGGGTCCTTGAGCTGCGCGCGGACCGCGTCGCTGATAGCCGCCGCGGCGTGTCCTAGCCCGGCGCCGCCGTCGCGTAGGTGGCGCACGGCGGCCCTCGCGAAGCACGGCGCCACGCAGTTCCCGAAGTAGCGCTCGTCGACCGCCGGCGCCGGGCCGAGGCGGCGCCGGAGGTCCACTGGCACCAGGAAGTAGGCGTCGCCGCCGGCGGGGTCGTTTAGGGACTTTGCGCGGACGATGGACGTCCACACCAGCGACGACACCGCGACGTAGGTGCTTGGGAATGTGCCCAGGTGTCTGCTGATGGCTTGGCTTTGTGTCAGTATGCTCTGCTTCAGCGACCTGATGTCATCGGCGCGGAGCAGGAAGCTTCTCCTCCGCTGGTCCACTGGCGTGTACAAGGACAGCGATCTTGCCACAGGCAGCACCGGAGCGACCGTGCGCAAGAACTTGAGAGCCACCTCCTCGGCTTTGGGGTACGGGATCGCCGTCCGATCCCATGTCGGCGGCGGCGGCGGCACCAAGTCCGAGTCCGACGCGGGGTCACGAGACGCTGCGGACCACGCCCTCATGAACTGCCACACGGAGTGGCCGTCGGCGACGGCGTGGTGGATGGAAACCCCGACCACCACGTCGGCGCGCGCAGCTCCGATGGCTGGCCTGGTGACCTGCACGGCGAGCACCGGGGCCGGCAGGCGCCCCGCGTTCAGCTCCGGCCCGAGCAGCATCAGCGCCTCCGTGTGGTGCTCGTCGCCGACGGAGAGACGGCGCATGTCGTCGATGCTGCCGGCGTACTCGGCCTCGACGAACCTGATGCCTGGCGAGACCGCGGCCGGGGAGCAGTCCACGACGACGTCGCCCGTCGAGGCGCGGTGGGTGAGCTTGCCGGCGAGGGGTTGGAAGACGGTGAGCACGGTGGCGAGGGAGGACTTCAGGAGCGGACGAGGGACTGGAAGGGCGGGACGTCAGGGCCCTCGTAGAAGAAGAGCCGCTGCATTGGCACCCTGTTGACGAATAAGGCGTCCACGAACGAGAGCTTGACATGGCCGTCGTCGGAGAGGGCATCTGGTGGTGACCAGATGGCAGTCTGATGATCTGGGGCTGGAAGCACATGGGTGACGGCGAGAATTCGCACCCGGGACCTCATGGTGCTGGTAGCTTGTTGATCACTGCCTGCTGCTTTTGAGTTGCAAACAATTTATTATCCTACGGTTCCTAGATGATATCGAAGTTGGCAATTTTCTAATGTGTAAAATATAAACCGTGGAGGCTAGAATACTACCATTTGGCAAGCATGGTCGGACTCACTGCGAAACACTGATCGATCGCTCCAAGAAGACACATTATATCAACCCTTTTGTGGCCTAACAAAGACAAATGGAGCAGTGCCTCCAAATTCCAGTCAATTTTGCTATTCCCTGCGTCTTGATGTAACTAAATAGACGATAATACTCTTCTCTGTGAACTTAGACAAACTTGAAATAGTTTAATTTTGGGGCAAACTCGCTTATATTTTAGGATGTGGCGATTAAAAAATGAACATGGTAAGTTACCATGCTTCATTGAAATCTAATAGATCAAATCATAGTTGACAAATCAATATTCCTTACTGCATAAAAAAAATTCTTTATGAATTTTACATGGTAATTGGTGAACCCTACAATGGATCCAATTAACATGGAGACACAAGCGTTCGGGTCGGCAATACCATTTATCTAGCAAGCAATGTGCCTTTGTCGTGAGAGTGTTCTTGGGACCAACTTAAGATACCACAGGTGTGTGGTTGATTCACTCTAGTGACCCTCCACTTCTGAACCTCATCGTCAACGGGACATGTCCATACACCCCATCCACAGCCTTGTTGGCAACGAACCATTTACCTAAGCTTAGTTGACGAATGAACCACATCTTATGGACAGTGATGTTGCACCAAATCATCCTTAAGCCAGAACTTGAGGTCCTCAAGCCTCTCAAAAACCATACCCTTATGGACGAACACCTTCTCACTATTTGCTTTCGACTCCGTGGACCTCTATCCACCCCTTATTTAAACACAAGCTTTGTTAAATGAATGTCCTCGAACAAAGATACCGACATCGAGAACCACTACACTTGTAGTGTCAAGCTACCTCCTCTCCTTCGATGTCAATGGTGGAATCATTATGCCCGACATAGTCATTGGCTGATGGGTACGACCATGTAATGACTTCATCATGATGGCCAATGCCTGTCTTTCCTCAATCACTTGTTCACGTCTTTGACTAGCCTCTACCACCCCATCACCCCCATGCCACTTAAACTCATGGACATTATCATCTACCCTTTCTTCATTTCGCTCATCGTCACCATCTTGATCATCGACAACCCTTTGTTCATTGTCCTACTCCTCAAAGGTCTCTACATCGTAGTCGTTATTAACATGAGCCTGGTCATAACCAGGACAATCTTGGGCCATCTCACGAACCGATACACAAGATAAGTCCGGTATGAAGCTTAGTTCTTGGTGTGATGATGGGCCTTCTTGTTTCACTTGCTCGACTGGATCCTTAACATCAATGCTCCATCGCAATGGAACTATCGCCCTCAACCCTTAGCGTATTGTCAATTATGACCTACAAGTCATTTGAGATCCCTTCACTAAATCCTTATAAAAGTTCAAGTCACCCTGTGACTTAATTCTCATGAGCACATAGTGAGTCATTTTCTCATTGGCATCGAAGTATCAAACCTACTAGGTATCAAACTTCACAAGCATCCTCGGCAACATTCAAAAAGCAATCTAACTCGACGAGCCACTTTACTAAAAGACGGTGGTACACAAATTTCCTTAATTCTTCACTTATCTCAACAAACCCCAATCTCTTTTAATTTATTATAGTGCCACTAGAAAATTAACACACGGACAACACAAATCCATCATGGTGCCATCCATGACATACACAGACCAACCAAGGCGTTTACTAGATCTAAGGCATAAATGGAGACAATCTACTAGGCCCATTTGAATTTTTATGAACATGCATGCAACTTTCTTTTTTAATGTTTAGCACCTAAATTAAAAGTACTATATTACACCCTCCCAAATTGTAAGACGTTTTGTTTTTTTCTAGATATATAGTTTTTACTATACACTTAGATATACATTATGTCCAGATACATAATGTATCTAGAGAATGTCAAAAACATCTTATAATTTAGAATAAAGGGAGTATAAAATTATGATTTTAGGAGTTGTTCATCAACCAAATTTAGTTATACAGATTGTACCCACAATTTTGAAAATCACTATAAATCTACTTCCTCCAGCCTATAATATATAGTGTATTCTAGCATCTAAATTCTATACCGTTTATCAACCAATCTCTATTAATCAATGTTTGATTAGGAAATAAAGTGAGGGCACATATGTTTTTTTGTATTCTCTCTTAATGTCCTTAAATTTTTAGGATACACTAATGTTAGAGTAGTACACAAGGGGGAGAAAAGGGAAACAAGTAATTCAGATGTTTCGATAAGAGGAGTTCATTTGGCAATCCCATAGGAGTATCAGTCTACCAATGAGAAGAGTCATTCCAAACCATCCAACTGCGACAAGAAGTTGGCCTCGAAGCCGTCCATGCGTCCCCGGTCAAGCACCACGGACACCTGCACTGCGCCGTCCGCCGCCCCGACTACCGCCACGAACTCTCTGACGAACACCGCCGCGAGCTCCACCCGGCTCGGCTTGCCCCAGCCAAAGTCGATCTCGTACGCGGCGAACCGGTTGGACGACCCTATCTGCACGAACCTGTCCGGCGGGACCGCCTGGTAGCGCTCCAGCCACCGGTCGACGTCGCCCAACGGGTCCTCCAGCTGCTCACGGACCGCCTCCCGCACCGCCGACGCGGCGCGCGCCCGCGCCGCCGTCCCTGAGCTCGCCGACCGTGGTCCTCGCGTAGCACAGCTTGACGCAGTTGCCGAAGAATGCGGCGGGCATGGGCGGGCGCAGGCGCGCGCGGCAGTCCGCGGCGAACAGGAGGTAGGCGTCGTCGTCGGTGCGGCTCAGCGCGTTCTTGGCGCGGACGCCGGACGTCCAGACCAGGGACGCCACGGCGGCGTAGGTGGTCGGGGGCTTCGCTACGGCGGCCGGTGGTGCGCGCTCGCCGTCGGCGAGATTGCCATTGCTCTGCGGTGAAATGCGCTGCTTCAGCGACCGGATCTGGCTTGCGCTGAGCAGGTAGGTTCTTCTCCCTTGGAGTGTCGTGTCCGGTTTTGGGAATGCGTTCACCTGTTCAGACGATGATGTGATTGCAACGCGAATTATCCTATGCCCATTTTTCAAACTAGTAGGAAAATTGAAGTGAACTGAGATTCCAAGGCAGCCAAATTTGACATCTTAAAAAGTACGGAGTAATTCAACTGAGAATAATCTTGGGATATCCTGGTACACACAAATTTCTTTCTTTTCCTTTTTTTCAGGGTCATATCAACTCTCAAGCAACTTGATCCTCGTTGTCTTCTGCTGTGGCAGCGAGTGATCAGGAACAGTGATTGAGATTTGAGAAGACTTCACTGTGCCAATTTGATTCGATCACAATGATTGAGAAATGTTTGTCCGGTGTCCTAATTTTCCACGGCCATTAATAAAAAACTGCTCTAGCTCGGTACCGCAACACTGGCAGTCAAACACGCTGAATTGACGGCTGACATAACGAACGAACTCACCGTTGGCAATGCCGGCGCGAAGATTCGCAGGAACGTGCGCGACACGGCCTCTGCCTTGGGGTGGCGGTTGATCACCGCGCGGTCGAACACCGGCGGCAGGAATCCCGGCAAGGCCGGCGAGCCGTCCCGCGCCAGGCAGCCCAAGCTCGGATGAACTCCCACAGCGCCTGGCCGTCGCCCACTCCATGACACATGGACACGCCGACCACCACGGCTCCAGTCCCGCCTCCGTCGTCCGTGTCCGCGGGCCTCGTCACTTGCACGGCCAGCGCGGGGACCGGCAGCGCGCTGACGACGACAGTGGGCACGAGCTGCGTGTACGCCTCGGCGTCGTGCTCGGCGTCGCTGGCAAGGCGGCGCATGTCGTCGGTGCTGCCGGCGTACTCGGCCTCGACGAACCTGACGCCCTGGGAGACGGCGCCCGGGGAGCAGTCGATGACGACGTCCCCCGACTTGGAGACCGCGAGGTTGCCGGCGAGCGGGGTGAAGATGGCGAGCGTGGCGGGCAGGGAGGACTGCAGCGTGCCGAGCAGGGCAGGGACGGGCGGCAGGTCGTCACCCTCGTAGAAGAAGAGTTGCTGCATCGGCTGGTAGGGGAGGAACATGGTGTCGAAGAGCGAAAACTTGATGGCGTGGTCGTCGTTGTCTGTCAAAGGGTTGGAGGTTTCAGAGGGTCGGACATGGGTGACACTGAGAACTCGGACGCGGGAGCCCATGCTGGTGGACTGGTGGTGCCGCGAGAAGCCTAGAAGCAGTGCGTCAGTGTGCTTGTGGTTCTGACTTCTGAGTAGAGGTGGATGAACATGCTGTTTTCCGCAAAAGACTAGAGAGGGTTGAACTGTTTTTTATTTAAACTTCCAGCAAAAGAGACAGCTTAATATGGTGAGTTTTTTTTAGCAAATTCGGCAGGTGTTTTGCCAATTCATTATAGAACTAGCAAACGTTGCAACAGGAAAAATAAATCCTTGTACATTGGAATTGTATTAAAAATAAGTAAAAATCATTTATTTGTGTAAATATAATTGTACAGTCTGTTCACTAAATTTATAATTAACAACATTGAGGACTTCATGTAAAATTACCTAACACAATAGTATATGCTTTGAATTTTACATGAAGTAAAACGGGTTCGGGTAACAAAATTTAAGAGTTGACATTTGAGTAGTCTTTTCTGATGTGATGATATAGCTTTTCAGATGCTACAAAATTAACATGTTGTATATTATTACTTTGCTACTTAAATATCACCAGGATGTCTTGATTTTGGTCTATATATAGAACGTGGCCCAGGATGTCTGCAGCACATGCAACTACTTGGCCATGCAGTAGCGCTAAGAAACAAGCAATGTTACCAAATTTGAAATTCAGAAAACAAAACCTATTCTTTTCATGCTAGGCATTCAGATTAAATTCTAACTATAGTATTGTGTGTTTCCCGTATTGAAAGCTTTAAAACAACACCCACCGAGTATATTGGGATTACATTTTGTTGAAAAACATTTTTTTCATGAAGATTATTGTTCCAGCATCACATAATTTTCTTCTCATGAAGAATACTGTTGTGTAACTATATTTTCGTTTAAAACATTCTAGATTAGCAATAATTAAAATATTCCATCGTCACATGTAAATTGTTTCAGCTTGAAGGAGAAATGTTCTAGCTTCAAAGAGGAATTTGTGCTAGCTTCATGAGAAAAATATTAGGAATATAAAAATGTTCCAGCTTTATATGAGAATATGTACTAGCTTCACGCAGCAGTCAAACCCAATGTATCAATAAATAAAACATGTTTCGGTATAATAAAAATATAACCAAAGTCGTGTCATTAAACATATTTAAAATTCTATGAAAAAAGTGAAATAATGTTATTAGAACAAAAAAAAACTGTGGTTATAGAATTTGAAATAAACAATAGTATATTTGAAAGACCGTAAGGATAGTAGCTAAGAATATACTAGAAATGAAAACATTATGATAAAATCAAATAAAGTAAGACAAGATAGCACCGTATTTAAATAAAAAAAACAAGCAAATAAGAGGAAACAGATGTAACAAAAAAAAGGGAGGGGGAGTAGAATATTATAGCCAAACGTATAGCCTGGGCCGAAATTAAACTTGCCTGGTTAAGAAAAGCACTTGTGGGCCATGCATGTGACAAATAATAGATTATTATTAAGCTGCAGATGAACAAAATAGTCAATGAAAACATAGTGTACCACTCTTCCGCCATGATTGGTTTGCAGAGTTTTGCAGCAGCACTTTGTTCAAGCAAGAAAGATCCCTAATCCACTCTCAGGCTGCACCGGCCGAAGGGAAGAATTCCTGGTGAAGGTCGGCCATGTATTCCATCCATCGCGGGCTCTTGTCGAACACGAGAGACTCCTCGTAACCCAGCGCCAAGAACTCCTCCACGATGTCCGGGATCGGGCGCGGGGGCGGGGGCTCCGGCGCAGCGTCACGGCGGCACGCGGCGGCGGGTGCAGCCGGGAACCGGCACACGGGGCAGGCTAGCTTCACCCTCAGCCACTTCTCCACGCACGCGGCGTGGAACCGGTGCCCGCACGGCGCGACTCGGCTCCACGGCCGCGACGCCGGCTCCGGCTCCGGCGCCTCCCCGCCGTCCTGCAGGCAGACGGGGCAGCAGTCGTCGGCCGGCGCCTCGGCCGCCTCCAGCGCCGCGATCGCCGCCTCGGACGCCGCTGCTGCCGGCGCGTGCACGGGGAAGGGGTACTCCTCCTCCTCCTCGTCGTCGTAGTCGGACATGAAGTCGTCGTCGTCACCTTGCGTCAACCAGTAATCGTCATCGTCGTCGGTCGACCAGTAATCGTCGTCGTCGTCGGACATAAAGTAGTCCTCCTCCCCTTGCCCCGGCTGCTGGTGAACGAAATCGTCATCGTCGGACATGAAATCGTCACCTTGGTCTGGTTGCTGGTCGAGGAAATCGTCGTCCTCGCCGTCCACCGGCTCCATTGATGCAGGAGCGAGCGAGAGGGTGCGGCCGGCGAACGAAAAGGCCGGTCGGGGTGATTGATTCTGGTGTTATTTTGGGTTGGCCCATCAGGATCCGTTCGTGGGGGGATTTATGGTCATGGGGCCGGAAGGTGTACACGTTTCCTTCTCCGTGTCGGATAGGAAATAGGATCGGAACCGGCCCATATGCAGGTACTCCTAACCTCAAACATTTATATATTTCCTTTATTTTTCTCATATATATTATTTATTATTTTTTTCTCAAATATTTATATATTTTATATTTAATAAATTATTAAACAGGTCGACCCAACTCAATCAATCGACTGCCAAATTAATAAATCTGAGTACTCCATCTCACAGAACATGCCAAGCGGTATCTCTCATCTCACAACTAAAAAGAGTAAAAATGTGGACAACTTTTCGTGCGACAATCTATCGGGTCGTCTTCGGTCTGCCTCCCCTGCGATCCCTGCCTGCCTCTCGCCCACGACCTTGACGTGCGAGGTGAAAACGGAAAGCCAACACAATCACCGCAACGAATTTTGCTTTCCTACAATCCTACCTCGCCCTCGCCTAATCGGTCACACCTGCACTCGCTCCTCACGCGGTGGATTTAGCCTTCCTCCGACGTCGCCCTCGCCCGCCGGCCTCACTGGACGTCGCACCCCCTTCCTCCAATCCAGGTATTCCTCTCCTCTCTGTTCTTGTTTTTTGGCCCGATCTCTCTCTGTTCTTGTTTCTTGGCCTAGATCTTCATGTATACCTCTCCTCTCAGTGACTACAACCTCTCTATCTTGTGGATTTATGGTTGGATGAATGTGATTTGAGATACCCAGATAGGGATTCTTATATGTTTCTTGGCCTAGTCGTTGCCCTCCGTCTTGGCCGTGCTCCTCCGTCCCAAGGCGCTTCTGGGCGAGGTGGCCGTGGTGGCCAAGGGCGGCGGGATCTTAGGCACTCCAGCCAAGGATTGGATGTCCCGTCCGATGTTGTGCAAAGGTACGTGATATGCTCAGTGGGCACTTTGTCCTTTTACGCTACGCTTACGCTTTGCGGCGCTTCCTCTCCTCGCCAACGCCACCTTCCACTCGATTGACGATGGCGTTGGGGTTTCTGGCTGCGTGGATCCTTCTCCCGCGGGCACGGCTCGTCGTCCTCTGTCGGGGATCCAGGAAACACTGTCGATGTTTTACCATCGATAGCCTACCACGGGGTACCGTGGCGATGTCGTTCGGTCTCGGCGTATCTTTGAACTTCGATGGTGAACATAAGAGACGATCGATTTATCTGGTTGAGCCCTCGATCGTGAGATCGAGTGCGACCACGCCCGATCGGCGTTTGCCTTTTGCGTTGGATTGATTATGAAGTGTTATGTCGTACCAATTGTCCTCTCAGAGCCCCGCCTCCTTTATATAGTCGAGGGCGGGGTCCTAATCGGTTTACAATGAGATTTCCTAGTAGGATTACTTAATAGTTCTATTATCGAGATTACATGGGAAGAATCCTAGTTGGACTAGATCTTCTCTCTCTCTTGCGGGGTATCCTGTGGGCCCCGCATCGATAAGCCCCCGAGCACTTCATGGTTGAGCTCTGAAAGTCTCGCTTTATTCCTTCAAGTCTTGTTAGGTAGGAACAGAATGTTATCCGGGTGCTTTCTAGGGTGAGACCTTGTAGCGCTTCTTGGGATCTTCGAGTGGTGAGTGTTTTGTGAAGAAAAAGTACATCCATCTGGTTGTAGCCCCCGAGCCTCTTGCTATTTGGAACAAGGAGCTGGAGGATCTTGTCTTGAAGTTGCTCTGATTGTTCGTTGAAGTTTTGTCAAAAAGAACTCGAATATGGATCGTTCCGGGTTCTTTTTGTCGCAATGTCTTGAAGTTGTCTGCGTTGAGTAAGTCTTTTTTGGTGACGTGCGCTTTTTGAAGAAAAAGTGCACTCACCGAGTGTAACCCTTGAGCCTCTTGCTATTTGGAACAAAAAATTTGGAGGGTTCTCAAGTAGTCCCGAGACTTGAATTATGTCATCATCCGAGTAGTTTTTGTGGTATCTTTCCAAAGCGGTCCTTTAGTCCTGGATTAAACCATCATCCGAGTAGTTTATGTGGTATCTTTCCGAGGCGGTCCTTTAGTCTGGATTAAACCACCATCCGAGTAGTTTATGTGGTATCTTTCCGAGGCGGTCCTTTAGTCTTGGATTAAACCATCGTCCGAGTAGTTTCATGTTCATGACCTCCGAGCCTACGTCCGAAGTTCTTTTGGTGGGTGCAATTTTTCATAAAATTGCACTCACCGAAAGTGTAGCCCCCGAGCCTCTTGCTTTTGCTTGCAAAAGTTGGAGGGTCGATTCTATCTTCAAAAATTTCGGGGCTATGTATCCCATGACCTCGTGCCTTCTCAGAGTTCTTTTCTTTTGAAAAAGAAGTCGGTTGAAAAAAAAGTCCTGATGCGTCGTCGTCGTAGTAGTCTTGAGTTTCTTGTACTTTTGTCTTTTGTCTTTGATTACGAGCCCCGGGAGTAATTGAAATGAAGGCCGAACTCCCTAGCCTAGTGTTGATTAAGCTATGCTGCTGGCCGAGCCCCCGAGCGTATATCCGTGTTGTTTTGTTCAGGAAGAACTCGGATGCGAGGTCTTGGCGTATTCTCTGATAGTTTCTTCTTTGTCGGATGTAGTTTGTATGGTGGTGGTTGAGTGTAAATGCCTTTTGTTCACGGGTTTGTCTTGTCTTTGGTATATTCTTCCGAATATGCCCGCCTTGACTCTTATTTTCCTCTCTTTGAGTCGTCCATTATTGAGTCCTGTCCTTTCACTGTGTTCTTTGTCAGACTTATTTCGTCGGTGCTCCTGGTCCATGTGCTCCGCTCCTTTGGTCTATAAATACTGTCCTAGAGTGCTTGTTTTCATCTATTGGATATCCCGTTGAAACCTTCGTGGATATGAGCATGGTAGTTTGTGAAGTGGAGCAGCCCCCGGGCATATTTTGTAGTTCCTGTGTGTTTTGTCGTAGCTGGAGGAAGTCTTGTGATAGGGATTAGAGGTAGGCTAATCCCGCGACAGCATTGTGCCAGGATGTATGTGGTGGTAGTTGGAGGAAGTCTTGTGATGCGGGCTTCGTTTCTTCATCTGGCGGTTCGGGTTGATCCTCGTCGCTTTGCCTTTGAGGCTGTCCGGTGCAGATCAACTCCATATGCGATATCACATCGGTCTTGGGTAGACAGATGCCCGTCGGCCTTCTCTGCTCCAAGTTGCCCTGCCGTGCTGCCGATTTCCGCCTTGAGTGCACTGCGTCCTTCCTTTGAAGAAAACAGTGTAGCTGATGGCGGTCTGTCCTTCCGAGTAGCAATTTGGGACACGTAGTCGTTCCAGAGCCTAGCCGTGTGTGTGTTCCTCTTTGCTACCTCGCTCTCCTTAGTGCCGAGTTCGTTGGGTCTTGTAAGATTTGTAATCTTCTATTTTTGAAGTCGCTTGTAATGTAACGAATCTTGTCTTTAAGGTTTGTAATCTTCTGCTTGTAATGTAACTAATCTTGTCTTCTGAGTTGTCTCTTACTTTTCTGTTGCGATCCCCGTTATCCATGAGATTACCGGGTTCTTTCTCAAATAACCGGGTTCTCTTGTTCCTTTGTGAGGTAGCCTTTTCTTTCTTCCTTCTTTCTTCTTGTTTTGGCGAGTTGTTCTTGTAGCGATCTGATAAACCTGCCGTGTTGCTGGACGGATAAGTCTGAAATCTGCCCGTTGGTTTGTACTGTTGTATGGATTTGTGCCCTCCATTGTTTTAACTGCGTCGGTAAATGGACCGTCGTATTCCCACATTGTGTTTTATCGGGCCTTGTGGGCCGTTTGTATTGCTGAAAAATCTATTTAAAGACCATTTGCTGCCCAACTCTTGCCTTTAAACCCTAGCTTTGAAATCATGCGCCGCCGGCCATTGCCAGTAACCCGAGCATCATCATCCTTCATCCTATTTAGCGCCTCTCTTGCTTCCACCGGTTCATGGGAAAGAAGAAAACCGCAAGCAAGTCTCGGGTGACCTTCGTGAGCGAGAATCATCCCTTTCGTTGATCCAAAATCAGGAGTTTGTGGCTATGAGGGCTGCTCAGAAGGTTTGGCCGGCCCCAACAACAAACGAAGATCAGCTGCGCGAGCTCGTTAGCGATGGCTTGATCCAAAGCAAAGTCATCGCTGAATGGAGGGTTCAAGGCGAACATCGGGTTCCAGCTCCAGGTCTGGTGAGATTGTCCTTTTGTTTCCTTTGTCATGCGCGGACTTTGCCTTCTGCTTCGCTTTCCTTCATCAGTTCCTTGGTTATTTTGGGATTAGTCTGAACCACCTAACCCCCAATGCCATTCTCCATCTTTCTGTTTTCGTTCATCTTTGCGAAGCTTTCCTTGGAATCCCTCCTTCTCTGTCTCTTTTTCGCTTTTCTTTAAATTCGAAACCTCAACCCCCCGCCGTGAAGAGACCAGCGTTCTTGGCGGTTGTGGGATTCAGTTTCGTCAGGGTCTCAAAATTAAGTTTTTTGACTATGACCTGGTCGATTCTGTAAAAGATTGGCGTGCCGAGTGGTTTTATCTTGCCAATTTAATCCCTTCCTTGCCATTCATCCCGGGTGCCTACGTGGTGAATGACCGATGGGACAAGAAACTTGAATCGCTTCTTTGAGATTCAAGTGATCCGGCCGCTCCTTGATAGGATTAACATCTTTGAAGCAAAGCAGGTTTGACCGGCTTTGGTATCGTCTCGAGTTTTCTTAAATCGTGGGTTTGACCTTTGAAGGAGCGGGAACATCTCGGCTTTGAGTATTCGGGGCCAAGGATCCTTCACGCATGGTCCCAGCTCTTGAGTGACCGGTGAGGAGGTACTCGGCGTCTTGAGAAGATCTTTGAAAGGGGTGAGTGTTATTCCCCAGTGTCACCCGAGTTCTCACCAACAACCCCCCTTCCATCTGTGAGTTGTCTATTTTTTGTTTGAGTACTTTATGCACTCTAGCTGCGTTTGCTCTTG